CCCTCCCTCCTTCCCTCCCTCCCTCAGCCCACTGCTTTCCCGGGGGTCCCCCACACCCCCAGGTGCCTCTCTGTGCCCAGGGCTTGTTGAGGGGGTCACCCCAGCTTTCTTCTGCTGGGAGTCAATGTTCTCTTCCTGAATTCCTTGCATTAGGCTTTGCATCCTATTGCAGCATGAGCAACCCCAAGGTGTGTCCTCCCTGCAGAGAAAGGATCAGTGTGTCTTGGTCTCTGACTCCCATGCCCCTGCACACTTGTGTCCTCAATCTCTGCCTCCCTGTTTCCTCAAGCCTTGCATCCCTCTCTCCCTGGCTTCCCATGCCCCTGAGAGGGGGTAGCTGGAGATGCCTGCTGAGACACTGTGGCAGTGATGGGACCATCTGGGGGTTGTTGTTTAGGGGGTGGCCACGATGCACTCAGGATTCTTTGGCTTCAGAGCAGCCTCCAGATTCACAGCTCCATCTCCATCCTCCCTGGAGAATCAGAGAATCAACAAGGCTGCAGGAGACCTCTAAGATCATTGAGCGCAACCATTAACCTGTCACTGCTGCAACCCCTAAACCCTAAACCCTATCCTCCAGTGCCACATCCAGACACCTCTCAAACACCTCCAGGGATGGTGACTCCACCCCCTCCCTGGGCAATATTCCAGTGCTTGAACACCCTCACAGGGAACTATTTGCAGAGAATCAACAAGGCTGCAGGAGACCTCTAAGATCATTGAGCGCAACCATTAACCTGTCACTGCTGCAACCCCTAAACCCTAAACCCTATCCTCCAGTGCCACATCCAGACACCTCTCAAACACCTCCAGGGATGGTGACTCCACCCCCTCCCTGGGCAATATTCCAGTGCTTGAACACCCTCACAGGGAACTATTTGTCCTAACATCCAATCTGACTCTGCCCTGGCTCAGGGCCATTCCCTTCCCTCTATCCTCTCCCTGCAGCCATGGCAGGACACACATCCCCCACCTCTCTCCAACCCTGGCAGGGAGTTGCAGAGAGCCATGAGGTCACCCCTGAGCCTCTTCTCCAGGCTGAACAACCCCAACTCCCTCAGCCCTTCCCTATGTTTTCCAGCCCTTTGCTGCCCTCATTGCCCTTGGCTGGACTCGCTCCAGTACCTCAATGGCCTTTGGGCAGTGAGTGCCCAAAGCTGAGCACAGCACTGAGCTGGGACCTCCCCAGTGCCCAGTCCAGGGGGATGAGCACTGCCCTAGTCCCAGCTGCTCCTGAAGCTCTTCCTCCTGGCCCCATGGTGGGGTGGGGACCATCCAGGTGTGGTGACAGGGCCACCCAGCTGCTGGCCTGGCAGTGGTTGCTGTGCTGTGCTCAGCAGAAGCACTCAGCCAATTCCTCATTCCTCTGGCCTGTGCTGTGCTGCCTGCCTGCCATCTCTGCATGCAAACAGTAAACAGGCTGTTATTATCCTGGATGCTTTGAATAACTGTGGCTATTTTTTCTCTTCCCAGTATTCTAAAAAGGCAAAAAATTCCCTGTGGTTTCTGAGTCAACTTTTTTTTCCCCTCGCTCTCTCCTCTTTCCTTCCCATCACCTCTGTGACCTTGAAGAACAGGCAGATGAGCTCTGACTGTCTCTGCCTGCAGCCACTGTCCAGTCCTGCTCTAGCTGCTGCTCTCCCTGCTCCCTGGGGCTGGCAGTGGAGGAATTTGGGGCTGAGCCTGATCATGGAGCAGCCCTATTCTGGCAGTGATGTGCAGGATCCTGCACTGGGTACCTGATCCATTGCTTCCCCTTGGCTGAGGTGCTGGGGATGCTCAAGGGGGTGTTGGGGTTGCTCAAGGCACTGGGGATGCTCAAGGTGGCCCGGGATGCTCGAGGAGGCTGGAGATGCTGCAGGGACTGGGGATGCTGGAGGTGCTGGGGATGCTGGAGGTGGTCAGGGAT